TGTAAGATGTTGTTTAATGGCTGATATATTTATGATCCACGTCACGTTTTCAGTGTGGGCGGCAGTTCCTCATGTTTGTCTAGAAGTCTTCTCATCAGGGCTCTATAAATAGAGAACTACGGCAGATATGTAATATGTAATGCAGCCGAACCGTGTATTACAATGCCGTTATGTGATGACCTCCAAAGAGAAAAGCAAGCACACTCGGAATAAAGTGTTTTCGGTCTGTTTCCGGTATTTGTTTATGACGATGTGCTGTGAGATGTGAGACTGGAATTGCACAGGGGAAAATAACGTATCTATGCCACAATTTTAGATGCAGATTTTGTTAAACGAATACGTTTGCGCTGTGGACCAACACTATACATTGACGGGGAAGGGGGTAGCAATAAAGATTACACCATTAAACTGTTACACAACATAACAGAAATAATATCGATAGCAGCATCCCTAGCAACCACCTTGGTGACAATGAAAACGTTGTATCGACACAATTTCCTGAAGTAATCTTCGTAATAACTAGCAAACTAAAGATCATGTACATCCACTGCACACATAATCTGAAATAAAAACTCATATTTCTCGCATCAAATGACATCAAAACGCATTTTAATGGCCAAACTAACTTTAAAATAGGCATTTTACACCGAGAATAAAACGAAGTTCGGCCATGTTTCTTTTTTCTAAAGGGAGAAATTTGAAGATCACGTGACATACTGTAGACACCAGCCATTGGAATGAATGGTGAAAAAAAACGTAGGGATCTTACAATTTCAGAGGCGTTTTTGTAGAAATACTACGTCCTACGTTGTGGACCAACGTAGTTATTACACGTTTTTTTTTGTGAGACTGGGTTGATATAGCCTAATAGGTCCACTTTAATTTACATCAGAATGAGAATTTTCTTTTTTTTATATAATTTTTTTTCCTTTTTTTATAATAGGACACAGGGTTCGGTCCGGATTGATTTGCAGTTCGGTCCGGATCCGGACCTTGGTCCGGAGTTTGAGAAGCCCTGATATAGAGGCTTACACACGATACGATACGATATACTTTATTGTCCCCGTAAAGACATTTGTTCTTGTTAAAGCTTTTCCGAGCTTTACGGGGCATGGTTTGCAATTTGCCCAGCCAATCAGAAATTGGTACTTTTTTCTCCCTCTCTAGCAGGGACTGAAAAGGGGGGTAAAAGTTCTCTGAACTCAATTCTCTTTTTGGTGTGAACGCAACATTCCAGGCACTATCGGAACTAAACGGGAAAAGTACGGGTAAAAGTACTCCGGTGTGAAAGCGCCTAATGGTGCTCTAGACTAGAGCAGGGGTTCCCAAACTTTTCAGCCCGCGACCCCCAAAATAACTGCAAACCCTGCACAGATCCTCAACTCCGGTGTGTCTCACTCATTAACCTGTTGAACCCCATCCCTGTTTTTCATGTCTCAGGCTCGAAAATGACATTTCCAGAACAAATGACCATAACTACACTTCTAAAAGGTGAAAATTAATAATCTTTTTTCTCAAAGTAATGATAAACCTGTGAGTTGGATGTAGAGAAGTCAGAATCAATATAGATGTTTTTTATTTTAGAGAAAATTCAGATTGAAAATAGTAAAAAACTGTAAATTATAGTGTCCGTCCAAAACTTATTTTTTACTTATAGTGAAAACTACCCTTGGATGATGGTATGGTAGACTAAAAGCTTTAGGAATCCAAAGTACAACATATAATAAGTACCATGTATCAAGATTGATGCAAAACAAGTGACATTTGACCTTTTAAGAGAGGTTTAGCAAAAAAACACCACCTCTGGGGTGATTTGGGTGGAAATGGGCGTTTTTGCCATTTCTCTGGAACCCATTGGTCGATTTTGGTGATTGACATCTCTTTTCAACCGTTAGAGCCAATAGAATCGAAGGGGAATTTCCACATATGCACCAACGTTAACAAAAAAAAGTGGGTGCTTCGCCCATGCAGTTTTGCCCAGAGTGAACCTATCTCACGCTCTGACATCTGAAAACGGAAAAGTAGGTTTATTGTTTATGGATTATCAGAAATCATTTCAAAGTGACACAGACACATTGGATTAACCGATGGATTAACCTTCAGCAGCGTTTTTATCGTTTTAATGCCATTGAAGACAACTTTTGATCAGACAACGACAAAGGTAAGCCATATTCCCGTTTTTGCTACCTAGCGCCATGTGTTGTGATGTCTGTTTTTGTTTATAAAGTTGCGAGTTCTTATCATGGAGTGAGGATGTAGGTACTGATCGATTCTGTGTCTTCTCATGCTAGTTGATATGTTGGATGTGCAGTTACGATAAGTAATACGGGTGTTAAACCGTGTTTTCTGTGCAAGCGCCGTTAGCATTTGTTCGCTCATGGTTAATTCAGAGGCTCAGCGTTAGCTTTGTGGTTGACGGGGAAGGGGGTAGCAGTAAAGATAACACCATTAAACAGTTACACAACATAACATAAATAATATCTAGAGCAGCGTCCCTAGCAACCACCTTGGTAACAATGAAAACGTTGTATGGACACAATTTCCTGAAGTAATCTTCGTAATAACTAGCAAACTAAAGATCATGTACATATTTCTCGCATCAAATGACATCAAAACGCATTTTAATGGCCAAACTAACTTTAAAATAGGCATTTTCCACCGAGAATAAAACGAAGTTCGGCCATGTGTTTTTTTTCTGCAGGGAGAAATTTGAAGATCACGTGACATAGACGCCAGCCATTGGAATGAATGGAATTGCATTTGAAGGTCAACCAATCACAGAGCTTGAGAACTAATCACGGGGCTTGTCAAACAGAGCACATGGTGTAGTCCAAAACGATAGCTGGGGATTCTGGGTAGTGTAGTGTCTTCTGCCATCCTTTACTCCGAAAAAATATTTGTTTCTCCGAATCGAAGGGGAAAAATACAAAAGCATTGCACACAATTTAAACCAATCAATGTTGTGTAATTAACAAGGATAGTCTGGTGTTTTTTAGTCGATGAGTAGTGCAGATATCACTGTAAAATCAATCGACAGTAAGGCGAATACTTACTTCCGGGTGTACAATTCTCCGTTATCCAATGGGAATGGACGCTCACATTGCCTTTAAGGGCAGCCGACACAAACGAATGCCGTGCTTCCATGAGCGTAAAATCCCGCCGCAGATGGGAATACATTGAAATCAGTTGAAAGCTATTTGCGTCCCTTTATGTAGCTGAAGGAGCCTAGGAGCGTCACAACTGCACGCCACGGGACCCTGACCAAGCATCGCTCCTGGACGAATATGGAGTGAGAGTGTGTTGCCTTTTACAACGACATTATTTGCTTTCAATATAATTTATTTTCCAACAAAAAAGCAGCGTGTGCACGGCTACACGGTCAACAAAAACGTTTTATCTTCCCAGTCCCAAATCACACACCTGTACCAGGGACATCCATTATATGCTGTTGCCCCATTACGCCATCTAGTGTTCAAAATATAAAAAATAACATTGTAATGGGTGCAACATTATAACTATTTTAAGTATTCATATTTATCCACTCCCATGTTGAAAAGAGTATTGAACATTTGTAAAATATATGTTTAAGCTGCATTTATGATTAAACACTAATAATGTGTGCGTTAATAACGCGTTAACGCAAAAAAAATTAACGCCACTAATTATTTTAACGCGATTAACGCATGTTTAGTTTTTGTCCTCGGCCGCCCTGTAGTTTCAGAGCGCATCGAGTTTAAAATACCATCTACAAGCTGATGCTGACAGCCCTCCTGCCGTCCGCTTGCGGCAGACCACACTTCCACGCTCACCAGCAGGCACCGACTGGCCATCGGGAGGACCGGGAGGGTGTGTGTATGTGTGGCGCGAGCGAGCGAGAGAGAGAGAACGTGCACACCTTACGTGTATTGTTGTTGTTAGAATCTGGTGCTAGCTAGCTGCGGCGCTAACGGATATATAAGGAGCTGTTTCAATGAAAACAGATGAGCGACATTTCGCCGACAACTGCGCCGTGCACTTGACTTTATGGAGGTAGCCAGACAGTGGGACATTGTACGAAAAGTCAGCACACTCAGCACGGATAGAGCGGAGAGAGGTTCCAGGTTGAATTGAAGCGAATATTTGTAATGTTCAGAGGTTGTTATATTCATGAGAATATTTGTCATTGATCAAATGATAATAAACAAACATTTGAATAAAGCATATTTGTCCACTCATATGTTGATAAGAGTATTAAAAACTTGAAAAATATCCCTCTGAGGAACATTTAGAACAGATAAAAAATGTGCGATTCATTTGCGATTAATCGCGATTAACTATGGACAATCATGCGATTAATCGCGATTAAATATTTTAATCGACTGACAGCCCTACTAATAATCAAATGATGTTAATTACATATTTGACTTGATTGACTGCCCTAGTATATCTTATAATCACCTGCAGCTTACATAAAAGCTACCTGTAGGAACATAATGCTTGTAAAGCATACTGTCTGCGTGTCTGTCCGTGCACTGCGGTGTGTACATGTAGCATGGCAACATACAGCAAATTGTCCCATTTCAGAATCGAATATATGAAATTACTAGATCATGATTGCTGATTCATAAATGTGTTCATCACAGCTGGTAAAGATGGAGCTCATTTTCATTTCTACAGCGAATCGGAGGCGAGGCTTAAGGAAAACGCATGTGAGCTTGTCTATGGGCCCCATTGGATCCGTCTATTTTTGTTCTGCTAGTGTCAGGCCATTTTAGCTCCATTCCTAACTCTCATAGAAATAAAAAAGGCCTCGCCTCCAACACTTTATCATGTTCTCCTTAGGTAACCATGCTGAGCCCCCGTATGTAGGCCACCAACTATACCAGGTGAGCAATCCGGTATCCAGAGTTCTGGGTTTGAATGAACAGGAAGTGCGCTGTGTTCACATCACTGATCCACTAGTCATAAAGTAAGAGACACAACCCAGCACAGAAAGATTCAAGTACCTGACGTCAGGGGGGTCAGAGGCCGGGGGTCTCTCCTGCACTGGTCTGCTCAGGAGTGGAGCCTTCATTCGAGGGGGCGCTTCTCTGGAGGATCTCCAGCAGACTCTCATAATGAGCCGTGGACGACTTCCCCTAAGAGGACAGACAGCAGCATAAGGAAAGATTTCATTGGATTTCAATACTTCTTATTGAGTTGTAGCAGACATTACATTACATTACGGGTCAGAACTGTGTTTGTACCTTCATAATCTGCCTGAGAACAATGATCGCCTCCTGGCTGACGCCCTCCAGCCTCCTCCTCCGCCTGCTGGCCCCCAGTATTTCGGCCCTCAGTTGTTCTGGGTCTTCTGTTTCCTGCTGATTCGATGTCTGATTACATCTATTAATGAAGGCAGGGATATGAGCTAAAATGGGACTTTTTATTTTAAATGTTGAAGAATTTTGCATAACCCAGATCTTACATGACAATACAAGGGAATCTTAGGGTTGAAAGTAGAAAAAGAGTAAACTTTCACCTGAGAAGCTTTTCCTCAGCCAGAAAGCTCTCGCTGGCTGTGCTAAGTTGCTTCAGTTCCACCTTCAGCGACTGGCACATCTTCATCAGCGGCTCCACCTCCTTCTGAATAGAATATGTTGATAAATTGTTATTCGATTTGAAAAAGGAGGACAAGGTAAAAAGAGGCGCTTGGTCTGGAAAGCCCCGAATGTTTTTTCTGTAGCCCCGGACAATTCTCCCTCAATAATATAAAACATTGTAGTGATCACTAATTAACTAATTAACATAATTCACGCATGGAACTACAGGTTGGGGGTATTGTTTCCGCACGGACATATATGTTGTTGACTGTACTTATTGTGTGCCCTCCTTGCTTCTTCCTCCTTGCTTCCCAGGCTTCAAGCCGGCAACATGTGCTTTTCTGCTGCTCAATAAAGCCAACTTTGCACCTTCGATGCATCGCCTCTGACTCCCTTCTCTCTGCACTACAACATCAACCGTGCTTTACCATGACACTAGAGAGGACGGCAGAATTGTAATTTCCCGTGTTCAGTGAATGCAACAGAGGCAAGACACCAGACCAAGCAGAGAGTTGAATGGAATTAAACATCTGTCTTATCGGCTGAAAGGTACCTATCCTGTGAGCTGTGACAATGTCAGTCGGACTCAGAGTTTTTGAAGATGGACATAAGAACATTTTTTCTTAAAAAAGACGAACATTCTCAAGTGGTGGCTCACACAACAACCCCAGAGCCACCACTTGAGCCAGGTAAACAAGGTGTAAATGTCAGTAAACTTCCAAGTTATGCAAACATGTAAGCAAAGCATAAATTACAGCTACGTTTACGTTACTTTGAATTGCGGGGGTAAGCTACACCGTTAGCAAGTAGCTATAGCTAGCCAGAGATATTAAAGTGGACCTATCATGCTATATTGAACAATATATTGTAGGGCCATACCTATATAAAGTATATAAATATAGTTTTTTTTTCAAAATACCAAACAGATCCTGCATTTTAGCCATGCCTCATTTTGCATCTATTTGCTCTTTCCAGCCCTGTTTTTGCAGGGGCTGATTCTGTGACGTAGCTTTAATGCAAATGAGCTGCAGCTGACCACGCCCCCCTGCAGGAGAGGGGAGCGTGCTTTGAGATCAGCTGCTGGGCTGTCAGAAGAGGGGGAGAAAAAGAGATCTCCGTCCTCCGTGTTTTATTCTTATATGATTATATAGAGTCATTATTCATTTGTTTTAAAGCTCAATAAATAACAAAGAAGACCTTTGACCGGCACTTTTCAAATTTTGTCCGGAAGATTTCAACTTTAACGGACATGTTGACCGGCGAAAACAAATCTAACTGAAACTCTGCCGCACGGCCCCTCGTTCCTTGGAAGAGGCGGAGAGGTGGGTGTTTGTCATCTGCTGGTGGACTAACCGGAGAGAATTACAGTGCTTGCCTCGACGGGGAGGGATTGCATTGAATTACAGGAGCAAACGCTTGCCTCAGGGAGGGAGAAAAAGAGCCACAGCGGAGAATAAACAGAAGGGCAACCATAGCAACCATGTGCGGGAAGTCTTCTTCGCTGCTTTTGTGGCAGACTACAGCGCCACTTACAGGCCTGGCATATGTACTACAGCGTCTCCAGCGCTTTCGAGCGGCAATGGCCGGCCGTGGTCCAACCTCTCATTCCCCTGATAGGTGGAGAATTGATCACTAAGCGGAGCACCCCTTTTGTGACGTAGAAAATAATTCAAATCTGGATCAGTCTGTGTCAGATCCGTTACAGCCCCTTTTTTTTTTTTGGAGATTTGGGTATAGAGGAAAAGAGAGAGGGTTGTATTTTCTGACACTTGGTGAGTTCCCTGACACACCGGGGACACATATTAATGTATAAAAGACGTACAAAAGTGCATTTTGCATGATAGGTCCTTTAAATAAACACTTTGTCATACAATCTAAATGTAATGTTTTTTAGCGTTACCTGGTGATTTCAAAGAAAGCTCTCTGGGAAATGTTGACTTACTGTTCGACATGAAGCTAGAAGCTACCTTACAGGACACAGTTGATCCTGAGTCCTGTCAGTTAAAGTGTTTCATAGTTAGCTTAGCTAAGCATCAACCTGAAATATATGGACGTTATGTGACAGTATTTCTGAGAAAAAGTCAGCTGAAATAGTGGCATAGTTGCCACTGCTTTACGTGTCGACAGCATGTTTGAACGTATTTGCAGCAGTAAATGTGGCTGTTTGGCCACTGACGTTGCCATAACAACACCTGAATTTAAATATGCAACCTCTTTTTGTGACACATTTTTGCATGAAATTATAATTCTTCTGATTGATATTTACTATTGACAGCTAGTTTCTATGTGAACATTATGAGATGGACAGCCAGAGAGAATAAATGAAAAACAGTTATGAAATACTATATGACAGTAAAACAAGAATAGCGTTTAAAAGGGGAGTGATTTGTAAATGATAAGAAAAAGAAAATCTGCTTACTGTTCTGTTTCATATGGGTGTTGAGAGATGTATCCATATGTCTTAATTTTGCTCTCAAAGTGCACTAGATTGATGCTTTTAACATCAATATAAAAAAAAAAAATCTTCCCGGGGCACTGGCAGCATACAATTAATGCAAATAAACAACTTCTACTAATAATAATAATCATAATCAATTCAATAATATAAATACTATATTATTTTATTATAATATAGTTGTATAGTCAAGACAAAACATGCTTATGACATGCTCAAAAACTGATATTTCTTAAATCTGTATTCAAATGTGGTTCCCTCTGTCAGCAATGTATCAACAACTACTCACACATTCCTATCAGTATTTCTCTGTGTTGTGGTTGACATGATGATGACTGTTAGGAGTTAAGGGGAGAGGCTGAGCATCACCATGATGATGACTGTTAGCAGTTAAGGGGAGAGGCTGAGCATCACCATGATGATGACTGTTAGGAGTTAAGGGGAGAGGCTGAGCATCACCATGATGATGACTGTTAGCAGTTAAGGGGAGAGGCTGAGCATCACCATGACGATGACTGTTAGGAGTTAAGGGGAGAGGCTGAGCATCACCATGAAATGTGCAAATTGACATAAAAATGAATAAAAGGGGAAAAAATGCTCCATGTTTTTCAGGCTGTAAACTTTAACTGTTATGTAAGCCAACTAGACAGACAGTGTATCACTCTTCCTCCTGTACATTAGCAGATAAAAGGCATCACATACTTGAATGAATGGTAAATAAAGAATGCTGGAAATAACTGCATCTCCATTAGCCTATATGCTATGCAGAGACTGCCTTCTTCATGTTGTGAATTGTAGCTGATGTTTTAATATGGCAATTTGACTTATACAACATTCGCAAGTTGTACATTTGACAATAACCCACCTTCGAGTGATGCTCTAGTTTCTTCAAGTTTTGTTTTTTTCCCCTCTTGCTTGCGCCGGACTGAAACTGTCTTTTCACAGACATCTCTTCACCTGCACTAGTGGCCGTATCAAAGCCGTGATTGGTCAAATGTCGATTCATTGCAACGGTGTCGGGTTACAGACGTGCTCCCCTTGTCACCTCTCACTCTCGCGTGTCAGCCGGGGGTGCGCGGAGAACTGCGCACAGCAGCTGAGGCCCTCTGGGCGGGGCCCCCTGCGCAAGGCGGGGCCCCATGCAGCCTGCGTGATTGGCCTGTAGGGAGGGCCCTGCCTACATTTCTGAAGCTTCTACAGTATTTGTCTTAAAAATTACAGCTGCTAACAAGTGGCTAAGTGAGAGTATTTAACATCATCAGGCCAAAGATTGGCTGCCTTTAGCTTAGCGTTGGTGATGCGCAGTCATGCGACTGTTATGTAGTTCCTGGTGTTAAAAGTGAAGACAGGCTCTGACTCTTAGCATTTTACTCCGTTAAAAAAACTAAAAAGTGGTGTTAATGTGTAAAGTCTATTCTGTAACAGAACGTGTTAGGGCCCGTGTTCACATAGCGCCCGTTTCTTTGAGTGGAGACAGCTGTGTTCTAACCTTCCTGTAGTTGAGGTTCTTCTGGTTGACCACGTCATTACTCTTCCTCATAACGTCTGTCTCAAGGCAAAGATGGTCCACTTGTTTTCGCGTTTCGAAACTCTCCTTCCACACAGGTATGCACCTGTTCAGAATGGCGTTGACCTTGTCTCGCAGCTTACTGTGCTCAGCCCTCTCCTTCTGGACGATATTTGCGACCTCAGCATCAACGTCAGAATCTACTCTTCTCCACGCCTCCAGCTCCCTCCTGTCGTTGCAAAAAAAACCTTTAGTGTCTCATTGACAAAAATGTCTGTGAGAGTTCCTCTGCTCCATTTAATGCTAACTGTCAACAGTCCTACTTTTCTGTGTCCAACTGACAGACAGTACTTTGTGTGAATGAATCTATGCCATTGATGTATAACTTGAAGGACATAGTGGTTAAATTGAACCTGATGGATCGAAACATTTACAAATGTGTCCACAACTTTTTTAACCTGTGTTTTGAAGTAACTTTACCTTTTCTTCTTGTCCCTTACTTCGACCTTCAGGTTGCTAATTGCAGCTTCCTGTTCTTTCCTCTGAATCTCTAGCTGCTTCTTCAGGGAATCTGACTCGGACACTATCTCTGACACCTCCTGCACCAGCTGCTTCTCCAGCACCTCCAGGTCCTCATGCTTGTCGAAGTCTGCCCCTGAAGGGAGAAGAGGAGAGTGAAGAACGAGAGGACGATAAACAATGGTTGTCATAACTTCACAGGTTAGGATTGCAAGCTTGGAACTGCATAAATTGGGTATGACTGAAAATGAGATGATCAAATTAGCCCATTTGTACTCTTGTGTAATGCATGTAATCCTCTAGTTATTTTATTGTATTGAGAGCTTTTTCACTGTACACAAGGACCTGATCTCTAGTATAATTGTATACTCATTAACCTTAACAGCATCAAACTAGTGTTTGAGGGCATTCAGGGGATGTTGAGCTTGTTGACAGTAAGAAGGTTTCTGACCAGTGTCTTTTCAAATGCCAAAGAATGCATCAGGAGTAACCAAGCTGACGGGACCACAGACAGGGGTGTAGTTATCGGCAGTCCGCCACAAATTAAAATGCAATATGGAAAAATATAATATGGATTTTGGGGGGGGGAGACAATGCTTTAATCAGTGTTGGTGTTGTTGACATAAAGCTAGCTAACTTCGCCAAACAATGATCCAGTCATTCATGTAATGACTTGCTTTAATTCGACTTTAGTAAAATGCAGGGACTAAAACCCTCTGGAGCGTGTGGGTCCATCACCCCTAGTTGATTAGTATAGTATGTTTTAAAGATATTTAGGGGCAACCAGTGTCTTTATTGAAGTGACAGTATTGAAAGGAGGAGACAGATAACACACAGCAAATGGTCACAGGCCTTCACCTTGACTCTTACATCATTTAAATTCATGGTATTATGAATTAAGTATTGCCACCACAATATTTGTTAAAGGCCCTGTGATCGATATGAGGCAATATCAAGCTAAATCTACTTGTTCTTGTTCATGTGTCCCTTCTGTGTGAAGAGATTCTGAAAGTTTCAGGAAAAAAGATTCTCTCACTTTTTGTCCTGATCCATTTATATAAAAACGTGTCTGAAAATGAGCTGATCAGATTTTGGCCACTTTGTGATGTCATAATGTTTTTTGGGGTTGTGTAACCCCCGACACCTTATCACCTGAATCTCCTCCTAGAGCACCGGTGTGTTCTTTGTAACCAAATATCTCTCAGAGGGGCGTGGGGAGGGGCTCCTTATTTTCATCTAAAGTAACAGACAGAGAATCAGCACTTTGGAAACAGGGCTGAAACAGAGGGGATTATGGGTAATGCTGCAATGATATGTTTGGTGTTTGGAGCCAAACACTTCAGAGACATGTTTTGTATCTGAGACCATAATATATTGATGTAAAACAGTATACATGTCTACGTTTTGCACTTCAAAATCTTTTTCTGAAGACACATTCCCTCACCCAGCACCTCTGTGGAGAGTTCCTGGACCTGCTCTTGCATCTCCTGCAGCTCCTGCTGGTGCTTCAGCTTCAGGACCTCCAGATTCTCCTCTGCACCCCCCTGCTGACGCTGTGCCCGCTGCGCCTTCTCCTCCAGCTCTTTCTCTCCTGCAGCTATGCATCGTTCCACATGCTCAGCGATGTCTTTCGTGTCCCCCTCCATCATGCTGTGGAGACAGTCCAGTCTCTTTTTCTCGTTCTGCAGCTCTTCAAAGTGAAGCTTGCGTCTTATAAAATAAGATTAAAATACAAATCAGTTAAAATCTAAATTAAAAAGGTTGGTCTTGAGTTTGCTATGAATGCTCTCTGCTGCCTTCAGGTTCTCTTGGAGGCTGTTAATGAATAGACGCCTCACCGCGGGTCTTTGTTTTCACTTTGGGTGTGAATAAAAGGCCGGTACCAGAACACCTGAGGGCTCTAGAGGGCTCAAAGGTTAAAAGCAAATCTGATAAAGGACCATTAAGAGCTTTTAAAACCAATGCAAGTATTTTAAAAATAATTCTGTAGCTCACAGGGAGCCAATCTGCCAATCTGGATCGATGTATGAAAACATTAGATAAGATATACTTTTTTTTGTGACAGCATGTAAAAAAGACGTTGCACATGAATTATAATGACATAAAAATACATATACAAACAATAGAAGGATATATATCTATAAAGTATATTGGAAGTTCATTATATATAATACAATCAAACAATATAAAGTTAAGTTAAGTTTTAAACTTAATATTATTACTTCTAACTAACCTAATACAGTTGTGTGAAATCTGTTGACATAATCCATTTAATTAAAGATAACGTTTCAGTTTTTTCAGTGTACATCAAAATATTATTTACAAAAGACCTACAAAAACACCAAAATAGTGTTTTATGGTTTTGAATAAAGCTGAAAACACAAGTTGATTAATTCATATGGATTCAATTATTTATATACTGTTTTGATCATCTTTTCAGTACATTTTTAAGCAGTTTTTTTTCATATTTGCTGCATATAATAAAGACCATAAACACATTATAACATTAAGCTAACTCAGTCGTACCTCTTCAACTCTTCCTCCATATGTTTAACTTGTTTCCGCAAAAGCATATTCTGTCTCTCCTCAGAACTGATTCTATCCGCCATAGTTATATTTTTCTGCTTCTTTTATATTTTCTGCCTTTTTTTTTGGTAACAACCGCTTTTTAATCCTTCTTTCAAGTCGTTTTTTTAAAAAGAGAACTCAAAGAAAAATAAACAATGAGAAACTAACATCACACTGTTGCTAGGAAATGTCACATTCTGCTCGGAAACGGCTTAGAAGGTTGTACTCTTTTCAAAAATAAACTAACCATCCAAGCATTTCAAAAGTAATTCAACATAATATTAAGAATAATTCCCATTGTCGCAAGCCTTCGGAGACTCCTCGGAAAGTTTTACTCTTTTCAAAAGTAAAGTAAGGAAAATCACAGACATAACTCAAATTGGTTTTGAGTGAGTTTCTTGCAACAAAATGAGATTTCTTTCTAGCCCTGACTAAATAAAAATATAGATTTTCTCTTAGTGTTATCTCAAGCCCCAAGCAGTAAGTGAGATACAAAGTTTCATTTTTTATTTTAGCTATGTAGGCTACTCATGGCAGACAGTTGTCTCGTTGCAGCAGGCTAAACAGCAAGGTTCTTTTTTGTCCACATGGCACTAATCTTTAGCAAAATACAATCATTGGACAGTAAGTAAAGTGTTAAACTGGGGCAATCATAATCATTTTATCTGTGGGTTATTTCTAACTGTTGGGTTGTTTTTATCCTATTTGATGAACTATTCCTGTGTTTTGTCATTTAGATCTTAGTAAAGCAACTGTGATAAAACAGGGGGGAGACACAGATGATATCTGCTTTCATGAAACTAATTTCGCGTTCACGATCAGTTGTATCAGTGAACGGCCGAATGTTGTGTCACGGTAAATGTTGCAGCTACAAGGTATTAGGGGCAGCATTTTCTCCTTTCCTTTCGTAAAGGAAGGTCCAGTGTTTCCTAGGCTAAAGGAGGTTATATACAATAAGTTTCAAAGCTCCTTTCCTATCATAGAGCAGGGATGGGCAAATGGCCACATTTTTGTATTTCTTTTACTTGTAGTACTGATACCGTCCAATAGACTCCTAGTTACGTCGCGAGCATAGGTCGCGAGCTGCGTACATGATTTCAAATATTGCGAAATAATCTGTGACGCGTTTGTGTGTATTGTGTTTGTTTCCTGGGAAAACACTCACAAGAAACACCGGCTGTTGTTATGCCTGCTGTGACGTTAAATTGCAGCTTGTAATTGTGCCTTGACAAGCTTAACAGTTGTATTTATCATCTGAATTTGGCAAAACAAGTTTAATATTCTAAAAACCAAGAGGTTCAAGTTAGACAACTAATGTCTGGGTAGTGTTCATGACTTCATGTTTATGTCATCTTAATGCACACACATTTTCCGTGCTTTCCAATAGTTTAAAATAGTTTTATTCCACTGTTAAATAACCTGTTAAATGCAAACATGCCACTTGTAAAAATTAAATAACATTTCTGTGAACCGATATTTGTTTAGTGAGCTTATTAGAGGATGTTCCCTGAAAGATTATAAAATGTCAATGAAGATGTCAGACTTAGTATATTTGTTAATAATTACATGGACTGTGTGTGTGTGTTCCAAGTGAATCTGCAGCCCCCTGGTGGCCAGTACATCAATTGTGTGGCCCCCACCACCATCAAAGTTGCCCATCCCTGATCTAGAGAATTCAAACAGCTCTAATCATGGCTGCCACTGAGGTACTTTCGGGTCATTTAACTCTGTTAGGAACCTTCCTAAGCTAAACTGACAATTTGAACACAACCACTTACTCAGCATTCCTGTGTGAGGATACCTTTAAGTTCAGTAAGTCTTTTGCACAACTGAGGTTTCTCCTCTCACATAACCTGCGAGGTGTCCTGCACGCTACCTCCACCTCCCACAAGTATTCAGCCTGAGGCCGGCACGGCACCTCAGAGTCAATGTGTTTTTCTTGGCTCTATTTACATCCTCTGCTTTCACGCAACAGAGTTTAGCCCGGGAGGAAGATGCCTTAAAAATAGATATAATGTGTTCTTTGCACGAAAAGTGACAGGAATATGCATTAGACACATTAGACCTAGTAGAGAGACAGAGCAGCTTGTGGTGAGGGTGTGGAGGTCGAGGAGGTAGATAATGCTCAACTCTCAACATGACTAAACTGAGATGAATCAAATATGTTTTCATGAAACAATAATCAACCTCTAAAATGAACAGAGTTTCCAGTTCCAAGTTGTGGTCAAATGATCATTTATGCTGCTTTTATATTTTCCAAGCATGGAACAAAAGAACATAAAGGTGCACATCCTCAATAGAATGGAAGCAAAATACACTACAGACCATGATTGTAAAAAAACAACAACTGTCATAAGGAAAAGTATAATTCGCGGCACCAGCCAGTTTTTCTTATTATTTTCCACACATTTTGAAAGTAATTTAGAATGAAACATTAAGTCAATGAGTGTGTGTCACCTTCCAGCTTTTGAGGTTGTTATCACATTTTTAAAATCTTGAGCCAGGAGAGCCACCTTAAATGAATATCCTCACCAATAATTTAGAGTTGCTTTTTTGTATTTTTAGTCTCCAAATAATACTTAACCCTCCGGTATCACTGTGGACGTTTTTGTCTCGAATGACTAATGTGCGTAGTCCAATCGAATGATACCGGAGGGTTAACTGGTTTCAGGTGAATACTATTGTGTAGATTTAGAAGACCCCCAGCTAAACTTTCAGTACTGTTAGTATGGATAAGCTATTGTGTATGGAAATAATAACACATTGTATAAATACAACATGTTAGTTTTTGATATCTGGGCGGGCTACATACTGTAAAAGAAAACGTGTACTCCTGACCTTATTGTTTATGATGGTTGAAATGAACCTTACCGTATTTTATGTCGTAGAACAAAATATGAAAATCTCTTTAGCTTGTTTTAAACGCAGACCTTACTTCAGGTTTCTGACTCCACATCCTTTAAAGTCATTTACATGACGGATTGTGATGCATCTTATAAAGGAGTCTAAAGAAGTGTTTTTATCCACATATACTATATTTTCATATGCTTTCTGATGTTCTCACTCGGCCTTAAACTTCAATCTGGATAAGTGGCCTCGGGCTGCTGCAGGAGGAGCTGAGGGGAGTGGCACGCTTCGAAATAGCTCCCTAAATTATGTTATTAACAATCTCTTTCAAGTGTGTCAGCTGATTGTTTCCCCAGTTGTCATGGCAGTCTGTAATTAAACTTGCCAACACACCAAGTTTTCATTTACTATTTCTCAACACATCAAATAGCTTCCACCACCCCCTCCTCCTCAGATGGGACTCTGTTACTCGCCTGTAAACATCAAACTGTGTGTGTTACTGAGTTTTGGTACTTTTCGTATATTTTGATGCTGATACTTTTACACAAGTAATATTTTGTATGCATGACTTGAAACAGAGTATTTGAATATACTGTCATACCCATCACTGGGTACATATGCCTGGTTCAAGCAGGAACAGTGGTGACTACAGGAGTTCAATCCAACACTACAAATGGCTTTATGAGGCTCCTGTTATTCTATCTTTTTCTTAACATCAATACATCCCATGAATAGTTCAAACTGTTTAAGTCCATGTCTTAATATGACTTCCTGTCTCTGGCTCTATGCTCCAAACCCATTGGTTACTTAAGTGGGAAATATTTCAAATACAGATGTAGAGCTTAATTACAAAAATAATCAACCAGGACAAATCTGTAACGTTGCTGACACAGTTTTAAAGATGCTGTCATGATCTTGGTTTTTGTGTTTAATGTTCCCTGATTTATTTTCAAATGCATTTTCTCTTTGTGTCCTTCCTTGTTTAACTTCGTGTTTATGTGTTTTTTCCACACGTTTATAATTGTTTGCCTTGATTTATTCCACCTGTGTGTGATGTACAGTACTTGATACCCTTGTGTCTTTACAGAACTCTCTCCAGCTTTCTTGTTATTGTAATTAGTCCTGTCTCTGTCTGTCCAAGTGTTCTTTGTCTGTCCGTTGTCATCATATCCCTATAGATGGATCCTGCCGTCAAACCCGATGCTCAAAAATGGTCATCATGAATGAAAATGACAATAAATACATTAAAATAAATAAAATGATAAATTAAGTTGATGTGTTCCGTTTTGTTGATTTTGATGTAATATCACTTCTTTTTTAACTAGATGATAAATAACTTGAAAAAAAACTGAATAAAACTTAGAAGTGAGTCACTTGAGATTAATCTGTTATGTGTCTAAACTAGGGCCGGGACTTTAACGCGTTAATTAAGATTAATTAATTACACAAAAATTAACGCGTTAAAAAAATTAACGCATTTTAATCGCACTTATTTTTGCACCGCGGAACGTTTCTCACTGGATGAGTTTCAGGCGTACCGATTATACTGGAGCACCAACTAACGTTCATGACTTCAGACAACAACAAACCACAGTGAACAACAGTGGGAAATGTTGTTTTAAAAAACGGACGGATGGAAGCGTCGATAAGAGCACGGTTGTGTGCAAATTATGCAAAAAGGAATTCGCATATCACCGCAGCACATCAAGCCTCAAGTATCACCTCAATGCAAAACATATAGCAGCTAGCGTGGACGTTAGCCTCTTTTATCGCGTTCACACCAAAAAGAGCCGGTACTAAAATTAGTTCATGAGAACCTTTTTACCCCCACGAAAGTCCCTGCTAGAGAGCAGAGAGCTGCTAGAGAGCAGGGACTTTCGTACGGCTCTCTTGTGAGAAAATAGCTATATTTCTGATTGGCTGGGCGGATTGCAAACCACGCCCCGTAAAACTCCCAAAAAGTGTTGTGAAGCCGCCATTTTATTATCCTCGCATTAGCATTATTAGCATTAGCCCAGCGCAGAAACGCAGAGAGACTAACTTATGGCAACACAAAATAAAACATATGAGCGGTGGAGATGAGGAGATGTCGGCGTTCTGGCGATTTACTCGGAAGGCTGCTGGGACTCCCAGCAGCTTCTACTGAAGCCAGTCCCCAACTCCGGGGACTTCCGGCCGGGGACTTTGGGCGGCA